CTCCACACATGTCATAACTAGATGAAAAAAGCATTGGGGAAACCAAGTGCTGAAGTAGATCTCAAAGAAATGACCACCGAACCGAGTCAAATGCTTTCTTGAAGTCCACCATGAGGAGGCACGCTTCTTACCATATTGCCCGAGCGGCTCCTATAGAAGATGGATATTGTCCGACATCTTCCTCCCACTTAAGAAAGCATTTTGCGTAGGGCTAATAATATCAACCAAAGCATTGGCTAACCTAGAAGAGAGTATCTTAGTAACTTTATACACCATATTGCAACAAGATATCGGGTGATAATCCACAAGAGAAGAGGCATGAGCTGATTTAGGGATCGCAGCAATCACCGAATGGTTGACTTGCTTAAGTAGCTAACTCGAGATAAAGAAATTCTTCACCCCAAGCACTGAAGTCTTCTCTCACTACACCCCAAGCTCGTTAAGAAAACAAAGAAGAGTAGCCATCCGGACTTGGAGCTTTGTCATTAACAATCCTAAATAAAGTAACCCCGATAGCCTCATCGAAAACCGAGGCTAGAAGCAAGCCATGAGCGCTAGCATCCGTGCAAGGCCCTTACGAGATTACGGCAAGCATCAAGAGGAATGGAAGCCTTAGCCGAGCCAAGCAGATGTTTTACAGTAGTCAACAAATAGGCCCCCCACAGCAGTAAGTGAGGTGGTAAGCCGCCCATTAGCATCCTCAATGGCCGCTATGAAATTCTTCTTGTGGTGTTGGCTCAGCGAGAGTGTGAAAAAATCTACTACCCTTATCACTCTCTTCTAAGTATTGCCACTTAAGCTTTTACCCGAAGAACATTTTCTCAACCGACTTAAGATTAACCAAATCCAGACCTTAGGCTTCTTTCCTACTCCAATAGGTCGCTACTATCTCTATCAATCTATAGGGCCCGTTGGAGACTCCCGAGGGTAGCTACGACTCCGGCTACTCTTTTTAAGATATGACTAAAATGGAGCTTATCGAGCATCTTCAATGGGCCTTTAAGAGCTTTGAGTTTTTAACACAAGCACAAACATGGGACTCGCCTGGAGTGTCATAGCGCTAGTGCCGAGCCACCAACTGGAGAAAACTAGCATGGTGAGCTCACATGTTGAAAAACTTGAAGTGCGATCGACCGAAGGTAGGTCGACTATCGAGTTGAACCCATGCTTGAGCATGATCGGAGAAGCCACCGGGAGAACTAAAATGGACGAGAGGCTGGGAGATTGGACATGGACCAGAGCGAATTCACCAAGACTCGTCAAATTTGATCCGAGTACTACCACTATTCCGAGTAAAGTGGTCGCCCGAATATGTGAGATCATAGAGACCTAGATCCAAACAACGAGTAACGAAAGTCCGTTGTCTCATAAGTAGTGCCCACGACTCCATTGTGCTTTCTAGCCTGCGAGATAATGGAGTTAAAATCTTCGAGCACAACCACGAACAATGGGGATTCCATGAACGAAGGTCGGCCCAAAGCACTTGACGTTAGATAATCGTGTTGTAGCCATACATAAAAGTAGCATGAAACTCACTCTATCGGACGAGGCCGCGAATGCTAACATTTAGACCTTGGGAGGAAGCATTGTGGAGATCAATCTAAACTCGTATCGGGATTCCATAATAGGACAATTCGAGCTTTTGTCTCAGCTCGTAACATTGGAGACAATCTGCCACTTCTTAAACCAAAAATGATGCATTTGAGAAAGCTTGACGAGATTGAGCTTGGTCTCAACCAAGGTGCAAACATCTATCCTTTTCTATCGCATGAGGCCAGCAACCTCATGTTGCTTGAGGGGACTATCGAGGCCCCTCACATTCCAGCAAAGAATTATCATATGGCGACTGAGGAGGTGAGGACCCCTTAGCACTTCGTTTAACGTTGCGGCTTCGCCTCCGATCGGACAACTCATGCGAGGGCTTATTAAGGCAATCGACAAGAGGGGCTACCGGGATAACGAGTGCCGCCATAACCTCTCCGCCACTATATTGTCTCCAATGACCTCACCGTCGGGCCTCACAACACACATATCCCGACGACTCTTAAGCCTCACCGCCCCGAACCCCGACCGGCTCGGACAACCCGGCCTCGACCGTCTCTCATTGTCAAGTTCCATATGTTTAACACTAGGGCTCGCCATTATAGCCTTACCCTTATGAGTTTGAATGGCCAATGGTGACTCCGTGACCACCCGAGCCTCCTATCGAGGCTGCATTTGAGCTTGTGGTGCGGACTTAGCGGACTCCAGCAGCCTAGTCCGAGGTCGGAGAGCCAACCTAAATTTAGCTTTGGCTTTGCGAGAAACAATCCGTCATTCCCTCGACGCGGCCACGACCTCCGAAACCATGGGGTCTATCCGAGGGCTCACTAACGAAATGTGCGCCCGGACATCGGCACCAACTCGTTGGGTTCATTTCCGGACGGAGATGGGCATAGGTTATACGGGAGAAGCTTCCCCTTTAGAGTGCCATTGTGCTAGTTCGCTAATAGCCGCCGCTTGGGTATTATAGTTTCGGACAAGAAAAGCTTTCAAAGCAATCACCACTTTCCACAAAGGTGAATCGGTTCAATGGGCAGCTACCTCCCAAACCCGACGATCATGCAAGTAATAATGGTGGACCCATCGGATCCGGATGGAGTCGGATTTGAGGTGAATGTCCCATAGGCGCCGAGCTAAAAAACTTTGATTCTTCACTTTAATGTCTAATAGGCCTAAATCCCCTCGGTCTTTAGGGAGGCGAGAGGCTTTTCTAAGCTACTAAGGCCGAAGAGCTTCTCCGAGCGTTCCCCGTCCATAAAAAGTTACGGCACATGCCGATAATGCGAGTGATAACTCGACGAGCATAGGAAAAATAGATAGCCGAATTGTATCATACCATGGAGGATCGATTGCAGCGACTCCGGTCTACCCGCATAGGATAGATGTTTACCCATCCAACTCCGAATGGTAGTTTCAAGGCTATGAAGCAATGGAGCAAACCGACTAGCAAGTAAGCGATGTGGACTTAAAGGGACCCTCAAGTATTTAAATGGGAAGGAGCCCTCACGGAAACTAGTTTCATAGAGGATAGCATGTTTTTGGGTTCCTCCCACCCCTCCAAAGAAGATCGAGGACATAGCCACGTTGATGGTCGGACTCGATGTTCGATCGAAGAAAGACAACTCGGGTGGATAAAATCCGGATAAAGGCTATATCTCTATGGTAAAGGAGTAGCACATCATTAGCAAATATTAGGTGGGTGATGGCCTAGATCCCATATTTGGGGTGATGGGTGAAACCGTAAGACGCGATAGCTACCCGAAGCAAGCGAGAGAAATATTCCATACAAACCACAAAGAGATAGGTAGATAGTGGATCACCTTGCTCGACTCCTGCCGCACCCGAGAAGAGCCTAAACATGCTCCCATTAATCGAAATGGACTATGAGGCCGACTCAACACAAGCACTAATCCAAGCAACAAATCTATCCGAAAAACCCAACTGTAGAGGAGCCGTTTCGGAAAACCCCACCGCACATAGTGAAAGGCCTTTCGGAAGTCAATTTTTAGCAAGCATCTTGGAAAAGCTCTCTTTCGACCATACATACGGAGCGAGCTCTCGAATTAAGCAAATGTTGTCGGACATTTTTCTTCCATCTAAGAAGGCGTTCGCATGGGACTAATAAGCTCCAAGAGGGTTTAGGAGAGCTTTGAGGAAAGAATCTTGGATATCACCTTGTATATTACATTACGAGTAGGCAATCGGTCCGAAGTCACTAGGCAAAGAAACATTGGCCTTTTTAGGGACTAAAGTAAGCACACGATGGTCGACTCGTTTCAAGAGCTTTCCGGAGACAAAAAAATCCTTAATAGTGGCACGAAATCACTCCCAATTATATCCCACGCTCGTTTGAAGAAAAAGGAAGAATAACCATCCGGACTCGGGGCTTTATCATTATTTATACTCGAATAGGGTCTTCTTAATAGTATCCTCCGACACCGGGGTAAGGAGAAAGTCATAGTGGTTGATAGATAATTAAGGCCCAACAGACAACAATATTAGGGTCGAGAGGGGTCGTGTCCATTCGTTGTACCCAATAAGGTTTGATAGTAAGACACCAACTCCCGGGCCACTTCTTAAGTTGAGGTGGTAAGATGCCTATTTGTCCGATGAATGGTAGCAATATAGTTGCCTTTGTGCTTCGATTCATCAAAATGTGAAAAAAAACTAGTGCCTTTATCGCAATCTTTGAGAAACTTACATTTCAACTTCGGCTAAAGAACATCTTTTCGGAGGATTGAAGAATTTGAAGCATTTCCGGCCTAAGGGAGGTTGATTGTCTAACTTCACCAAGGCTGGAGCATGATCCGAGAAAGCTCCCGATGGGCTAAAATGAACGGAAGTAGGTTACCGAAGCGTAAACCAATGGAGGTTGACTAACACTCTATCGATCTTCATCCAAACTCTCCCATTAGTCCATGTGAAGTGATTACCCATGTAGTTGAGATCAATGAGGCCGAGGTCCAAGTATCAAGTACGAAAGTCCGAGGTCTCATATTGAGAGACTGCGAGCACCATTGTGCTTGTCATCCTATGAGAGGACCGAGTTAAAATCCCCAAGAACAAGCCAAGGGTTATGGGGGTTCCATCGACGAAGCTCATCCCACAACTCTTGTCTCCGAATAAGAGTATTATAACTATATACAAAAGGGGCGATGAATCCCATCAAATGGACAAGACTAATGATTTTTAACACGCGACCCTTGAGCGAGGAACATCTAATAGATCAATCGAAACGATGAATCGGATTCCAAAAAGAGCAATATAGGCATTGGAGGCCACATTCGCATTTGAGAGGAATCTCCACTCGCGTGCATTTTTGCGAGCTTACAAAGGCTAAGCTTAGTTTCAACAAAAGCATAAATATCTAGTTTTTTCTTTCTCATGAGACCAAGCAGCCTCATGTTGCTTTAGAGGACTATTTAAACCCGTAACATTCCAACCGAAGATTAAAATACGATAGTGGAGGCACTAGGAACCCCCTTAGCACCCTTTTTAGTGACCCTACTCCGACTTCGAGTGATCACCCGAAGAGAGTCGTCGATAATGATGTTGGTCGCTTGCTCCGCTTGTATGACCATGGCGGACATGTCCACTCTAGTTGAATTGGTAGTACTCGGAACCCCCGATGTCCGATCTCTACAACCCACCTCGGGACCCTAGTCGGGGCCAACCCCCATACTATTTAGACCATCTTTAACAACCTTTCCTTTCCTTTTCCGAGCCGCCGTTTCTTGGCTTATAACCACGAGAGTAGCCTCGCCGAGTTCGATCTTGCTAAATTTGTCTAGGCCGAGTAGAAGTATTCGCCGAGGCCGAGCTTGGGAGATCCGCCTAGATTGAGTAAGTAATCGGGCCCCCATATGTCAAACACTCCCCCGATGTAACAGCCTACCTCCAAACACATTGAGTCAAGTGAATTAGCCATAGACAAGTAGGCGAGGTCATAGCAAAAGTAGTAGGGCCTAACCAATGAAAGACACTCACCCTAGCCTCGGTTTGGACGTTTTACCCCAAATACAACCCCGACATTATCCCGAGTCACGAGTAGCAGTTCACTTACCACAAGAAGTAGTAGAGTGCCCCGTAACTCTACAACTCTTGCAATGAGTAGGCGAGTTTCATAAACAATAGGTTATTGAAGATCGAACCATTGGAAAGTCTAATGTTTACCATTCGCTATAATTCCCGCATGATATTGAGCTTAACCAAAACTCTAGCATAAGAAATTCGATCCATAGAGGCGATCGAGTATATCACATTAAATAGGTTTACCAAGCAAACTAGCTATTTTTGAGAGGCATAAATTTGACCAACATTTAAGGGGGAGATTAGGGAATTTCACCCAAAATGGCACCGTCGACATCTCCTCACTCGGAGAAATCAAAGAATTTTGGTATAGTTCTCGGTAGGAAAGGTAGACCAAATATCAAGTATAGGTTGCCATGTAACACGGAGAATTTGGCCTCTTCGGAGGCAAATTTGTAGACCAACCAACTCGAGTCATATATAGATAAGGTAGCCTCACATTTCCATGTGTTAGCAATAATCCCTTGAAGGGCCCCGAATCTCGAAGATTTCTCGATAACATAACCAACCAAACAAAACTTCCAAACTTCACATTTTAGGTCATCATCAAGCAATATACAAGTTTTTGAATCGGTGATAGTAGAAAAGTGAGTGAGCTTTGGAGATGTTGTAGCACTATGATTATTAGCAAATAAGTCTCTCCATTTGCTAACAGGGGGTTCGAGTTACCTGCATTGCCGGAAGGTAGAGGCCTAGGCCCGTCACTCGAGGAAGGGTAAGCTATGCCCGAAGGAGGAGTGTCGGCAACGACTGGAACCATGTCGAGGCGAACAGGTAGGAATTTATCCACTAGTCGGCGAGAGGAAGAGGGGGAGGTAAAGCGGTACCCATACCAACAACGGCTATGTCCGCCAATGGAAGAGAGGTCGGAGACGCACCCGAACCGAGTGGCGAGAGGAGTGACTTGAAGAGTTTGGACCAAGAGAGCATCTCCCCATCCGAATCAAAAGAATCCACTTCGTCCGAATGGAATCGCTTCCGTCCGAACAATCCTCAACCTCCACACAATCACTTATAGAAGTTAGGGCATCGGAATGATGAGGGGAAGTCCTGTTGGAAGTGCTAATTTTACCATATAGGGTTGGGCACGAGTGATAAGGGGTTGGAACCCGATCCGTCAAAGGAGGAGTAAGAGCCACATGAGCTTCTAGGGATATGATTGGAGCCTCATTATCTCACCCTACCGTAGTCCGTGAGTTGAGAAATAGATTTCTTTTTCTTTTTTGTCATGGGAGAAAAAAAGGGTGGGTCGAGAGAGAGAAAGGGAGAAAATGAGAGGGTAGAGAGGGTTAGGTGAAGGTGGAGAGAGAAGTGAGGGGGAGGCCGTAACGAGATGTAGATTTGAAGGGAAGAGTAGCCAAAATAGTAGCGAGACCAAATAAGGAGGGAAAGATCTCCATAGGAGGAGGAGAGCGTCTCTCTCTACTTTCTCACTCTAGGGTGCACTACTGCGAGAGCTCTTTCTTTTTTTTTATTTAAAAGTAAGTATATAAATCAAAAGAAACTAGCTGGAAAAAGAACCAAGCAAGAGTAGCATTTACAGGATGTATAAAAATTAGGAACAGGCTCCCAAAGAACCAAAATAATGAGCTAGCCCTAGTGGTTATTCAAGGAATCAAGTAGTTGTAGAGATTCTAAGAAAAACCGAGATAGGGACCGTGTGCTAGCTAACTAGAACCATTTACATAGGCTCTCCAAGCATACAAAAACTTTGCTGATTAAGCACTAAGTGAGAACCAACAATGTACAAAATAATAGCCATCAACTTACGGAGTCGGTCGCTAGCGCGGCGAAACAACGAGGACCGATAGGAGAAGCGGCGCCAAGGCATGCGTAGAGGCTATGAGCGGGAGGCCCCGCCTATCAACGAAGCGGGACAAGGGATGAGACTCGCAAGAAAAAGAAGCGTAAACGAAGCTAGCGGGAGCGAGCAGCGCCAAGCTTGGCAAAGCCAAATGGGGGTAGAAATGTATGCTAGACCATGCGACGAGACCGGAAACGGAAACCAATAGGTGCCGACGAGTGCCCAACCGGAACATACATTGGGCTGAACCATAGCTCCTACCAACCAAACCTTTCCATCCTAGCCCGGTGAAGCCCAATCGGATTGTGAACCGAGCAGCGAGTAGGCCATGAGGAGACGGACACATTAAGTCGACCAAGGCGGGGCCAACTAGAGGCATAGTACCTAAAATCAAACCAACCGGAGAGCCCGAAAAGCTCTACAACTAGAGCGCCCATACAGCCCAACCAAAACGAAGCCGAGTCTAAAGTACACGACCTAACCAACCGAAGCCTAAGCCCACCCATACAACCAAGTAGGCTCGCAACAAGACTCGAACAGATCGAAGGAACCCGCCGGGTATGGAATAATATAACCCACAAGCGAAGCAAGACCAAACAACTTTGACCAATCTATGGCAGTAGCCAAGGAGCCGGCATTGGTGGAACTCAATAGGACGAAATAGGCCCAAACAAAGGCGCAACCCCTAAACGAACACAGCCCCCAAACCAAGAAAAACCGAACGGCTCGAGAGCTCGGAAGAGCGACCGGATGACCCAAGAAGACTCGAACCCGGAGAACCAATCGACGGCAACTCGGCTAGAAGAGAACTCGTAAACCGACCTAGGAAATCAAGGCCAGCCCATAGACAAGAGGAGGGGGTCTCGTACATGAAAATAGAATATCGTGTAGAAAAGAATCCGGAATTTACGAAACACATTATCTATCAAGCTAGCCAAGGCATCAAAGGCACGCTTGTTCCTTTCTTCCCGGATGACATAAACCGTAATACTAAGGGTCACTCTCCTCATTTTCACTTCAAGGTTGTTATGACGACAGGAGAGGCCTCTAATAGCACTAGTGAGCGTATGCATACCTCCGTGAATGCACGACCATCGCTTGATTTTCAACCGGAGGTTAGTCGTCCCGAGGGCAACGAAGAATAAATGATTAAGTGACTCGGAAGCTTGATCACAAAGAGGACATGTATCACCGGTAGGTAGAAAACGAAGACGGTTCTTGGTTTTTAAGGCACCCCTAGCCGCAAGCCAAAGAATAAAGGAATGTCGTGGCATGGACTATGACTCCCAAATCACCCTACCCTAGCACACCGGTACCCCCGCCGGCCTAAGCCGTGTATATGCAATGTGAGAGAAACTTCCCTCTCCCGAGTTCCAGCTAGCAAGCTCACGTATGGCTGCATCTTTACTCTCATATTTCACAACAAGCAAGTCTTTCACATTCAAAATAGCTTTCCACAACGGTAAAGCATTGCGATGGGCGACGAGCATCCCACACTCGGCAATCTTGCAAGTAGAAGTGATGGATCCAACGAATCTAAATGGAGTCGACCTTGAGGTATATGTACCGCAGCCTTTTAACTAGAAAACTTTGGTTTTTCACTTTGATGTCAAAGACTCCTAGGCCACCTTCCGATTTAGGGGAGCGAGAGGCTTTTCCAAGCCACCAAAGCCGAAGAGCTCCTATTGACATCTCCCGTCCATAAAAAATTCCAACATATATTGGTGATACGTACAATAACCACAAGCAGGCATAGGAAAAATAAGCTAGAATTGTATCATGCTAAAGAGGATGGACTCGAGGAGTTCCAGTCTACTCGCATAGGATAGATATTTTCCCATCCGAGCTTCCGAATCGCGGATTCAAGACTATGTAGCAAAAGGGCAAATTGGCTAGCAAGCAAGCGATGAGGGCTTAGAGGGACCCCGTGTATTTGAAGAGGAAAGAACCCTCACGGAACCCGAGCTTCATGGAGGATGGAGTTTTTCAAGTCACTTCCCACCCCACTAAAGAAGATCGAGGACTTGGCCACATAGCCAACTTCTTGGAGGGGCTATGGCCTTCCGGGCCAAGAAAGTTTAAGGCAATAATAGGTCCGTGATACCCTTAGAGGTTCCGGGCCGCACACGTGCCGTATTGATGTATTCAATGAGTCTATAGCCTTAGTCAATAGGCTCGGGTAATCTTTAAAATTTCATCATGATGGGGATAAATCATTACAATTATTGCCCTTCAATGAGTAATTCCTAGTAAGTGTGAGTCATCAGCTCGCGTTGACTACGTCCCTGCACTTTGTACACACCATCCGTCGCTCCTACCGATTGAATGGTCCGGTGAAGTGTTCGGATCGTGGTGACGTGGGTGGTTCATCGCCGGCGACGTCCCGAGAAGTTCGCTAAACCTTATCATTTAGAGGAAGGAGAAGTCGTAACAAGGTTTTCGTAGGTGAACCTACGAAAGGATCATTGTCGAAACCTCGCTCAGCAGAACGACCCGTGAACTTATGGCCGAGCATGCTAAGGCCACAGGGGGCTCTTGCCTTTCGTGTCCTTTAGGGTCGCGGAGGGTGCATCTACACCCGTTGTAGCTAAAAAAAAACCATGGTGCGAGAAGCGCCAAGGAACTAAAGTATGAAACGCATGCCTCCATCGCCGAAGGGTGCTCTAGGGGTGCGTCTCCAATTCAAGATAAGCCGAACGACTCTCGGCAATGAATATCTCGGCTCTTGCATTGATGAAGAACATAGCGAAATACAATACTTTGTGTGAATTGTAAAATCCCATGTGCCATCAAGTTTTTGAACGCAAGTTACGCCCGAGGCATCATGGCCGAGGGCACATTTTCTTGGGTGTCATGCATCATCGCCCCTAAACCCCTTTCGGCTAACAAGGGTGAGGGGTGGATTTTGGTCTCTCATGTGTGCTTTCAATTATGGTTGGTCTAAAATTGAGTCCTTGGCGACGGCTACCACGACGAGTGGTGGTTGAGAGAACCCTCGAAAGCGGTCGTGCATATGCCCTATTGCGCTTTGGGATATCCAAGACCCTCGAAGCATCATCGGCTTTGGTAGGATGCTCTCACCGCAACCCCGAGTCACGTAGGACTACCCGCCGAGTTTAAGCATATCAATAAGCTGAAGAAAAGAAACTTACAAGGATTCCCTTAGTAACAACGAGTGAACTAGGAGGTGCCCGACTTGAGAATCGAGCGCCTATGGCATTTGAATTATAGTCCGGAGAAGTGTCCTCGACGAACGGACCGAGCCCAAGTCCCCCGAAAGGGGGCATCGGAGAGGGTGAGAGCCTCGTCATTCGTTGGACCCCGTTACACCATAAGGCGCTATCTACGAGTCGGGTTGTTTGGGAATGCAACCCCAATCGGTTGATAAATTTTGTCTAAGGCTAAATACGGGTGAGAGACCGATAGCAAATAAGTACCGTGAGGGAAAGATGAAAAGGACTTTGCAAAAAGAGTCAAAGAGTGCTTGAAATTATCGAAGCTAAGTGGATGGGGGTCGGTGATGCGCCCGGATCAAATATGGAATGGTGCTAGCCAATCCGCCAATCGGCTCGAGCATGGATCGATACGGATTATGATGGCAGCCCAAGCTCGAGCTTTTAAAATGCTTACGGAGACGTTATCATCATAATTATGGACTACAACACACATCATCCCGATGTGCATCGACACCAGGTGTGCTCCGAGCATCGGCATGTGGGCTCCTCATTCTTCCCCTCTTAAAACATGGACCAAGGAGTTTGACATGTGTGCGAGTCAATGTGCGAAAAAACCCGTAAACCATAAGGAAGCCGATTGGTAGGATCCCATCGAGGGTTGCATCGCCGACCGACCTTCATCTTCTAAGAAGGTTTCGAGTAAGATCATGCTTGTCGGGACCCGGAAGATGGTGAACTATGCCCGAGCAGGGTGAAGCCGGAGGACACTCGGTGGAGGCTCGCAGATGATACCGACATGCAAATCGTTCATCCGACTTAGGGATAGGGGTGAAAGACTAATCGAACCGTCTAGTAGCTGGTTCCTTTCAAAGTTTCCCTCGGGATAGCTGGACCTCAGCACAATTTTTATCGGGTAAAGCCAATGATTAGAGGCATCGGGGGCGCAATGCCCTCGACGTATTCTCAAACTTTAAATAGGTAGGACGATGTGGCTGCTTCGTTGAGCCATGCCATGGAATCGAGAGCTCCAAGTGGGCCATTTTTGGTAAGCAGAACTGGCGATGCGGGATGAACCGGAAGCCGGGTTACGGTGCCCAACTGTGCGCTAACCTAGAACCCACAAAGGGTGTTGGTCGATTAAGACAGCAGGACGGTGGTCATGGAAGTCGAAATCCGCTAAGGAGTGTCTAACAATTCACCTGTCAAATCAACTATCTTTAAAAATGGATGGCATTGAAGCGCGCAACCTATACCCGACCGTAAAGGTAAGCGCCAGGCCCCGATGAGTAGGAGGGTATGATGATCGTTGCAAAAATCGAGGTGCGAGCCCGAGTGGAGCGATCGTCGGTGTAGATCTTGGTGATAGTAGCAAATATTCAAATGAGAACTTTGAAGGCCGAAGAGGGAAAAGGTTCCATGTGAACGATACTTGCACATGGGTTAGTCGATCCTAAGAGACGGGGGAAGCACGTTCGACAATGCGTTCGCATGCGAGCTTTGAAAGGGAATCGGGTTAAAATTCCTAAACCGGGACATGATGGCCGATGGCAACGTTAGGGAGTTCGAAGATGTCGGTAGGGACCTCGGAGAGAGTTATCTTTTTTGTTTAACGGCCCACCCCATTCCGGAAACGACTTAGTCGGAGGTAGGGTCCAACGATTAGAAGAGCATTGCATGTCGTGTGGTGTTCGGTGTGCCTCCGGTGACCCTTGAAAATCCGAAGGATCGAGTAACTCCCATGTCCCGTCCTACTCATAACCGCATCGGGTCTCCAAGATGAACAACCTCCGGTCGATGGAATAATGTAGGCAAGGGAAGTCGATAAAATAGATCCGTAACCTCGGAAAAAGGATTGGCTCGATGGCTAGGCTCGGGGGTCCTAGTCCCGAACTCATCGACTATCGACGGACTGCTCGAGCTACTCTCGTGACGAGAGTGGGCCGTCGCATGTCAATTGAGGGATGGACTAGGAATGAACCCTTCGGGAGCCTTCCTCGAGCGTCAAACAATTGACTCGAAGCTGGTATGAACAAGATGAATCCGATCGTTTAATTAAAACAAAGCATTGCGATGATCCTTAGGGATGCTCACACAATGTGATTTCTACCCGAGTGCTCGAATGTCAAAGTGAAGAAATTTAACTAAGCGCACGTAAATGGAGGAAGTAACTATGACTCTCTTAATGTAGCCAAATGCCTCATCATCTAATTAGTGATGCGCATTAATAGATTAACAAGATTCCCACTATCCTTGTCTACTATCCAGCGAAACCACGACCAAGGGAACGGCTTGCGGGAATCGGAGAGGAAAGAAGACCGTGTTGAACTTGACTCTAGTTTGATTTTGTGAAATGACTTGAGAGGTGTAGGATAAGTGGGAGCTTCAACGAAGGTGAAATACCACTACTTTTAACGTTATTTTACTTATTTTGTGAATCGAAGGTGGGGCACTGACCCATCTTTTTAGACCTAAGGCCGCTTCGGCTAGGAGAAGGCTAGGCCCGGCCTCTTCTGTCGAAGGAGAAGGCTAAACACGACAGGAAATCGAACCTAGAGAAGCCCACACCGGATCGTTGGAACCGTCAAAAAAAATTCTAGCTTGGGCCAGTTGTTTGTGATAGTAAACGAGGAGCCCCTAGAGGAGAAGCACTCTAACCGGACCCCCTACCAAGAGAATAATCCCATATGGATAAGAAGAAATGAGCAAGCATACACAACATAGTCATTCGAGACGAGCCCATACAGAGGCGAGACAAGAGAAGCCGAACCCCAAAATCCAAAGCGACCCAATAAGCACTGGAAGAGCACCCGGACAACCCAAGAAGACTAGAATCGAAAGACCCCCGATAGCGACGAACCGGACCGGAGAAGACTACAAAGGAACCAACGGAGCATTAAATCAAAGCTAGCACACATGCGGGAGGTGGTGGTTTGACTTATGAAAATAGAATACCATGTAGAAAAGAATCGAAATTTTCGAAACACATTATCCACCAAGCTTGACGAAACATCAAAGGTTTTCTTGTTTCTTTCTTCCTAGATTACATAAATTGTGATACTAAGGGCCACTCTCCTTATTCTTGCTTCAAGATTTTTACGATGATAATAAAGACCTCCGATAACACTATTTAGCATAGTCATACCTCTTCTAATTCTTAGCCATCGCTTAATTTTCAACCATAAGGTAGTCTGTCCGATTACAAGAGAAGAACAAATGGTTATGTGACTCATTAGCTTGGTCACAAAATAGACATGCTTCGCCGGTAGGAAAAAAACGGAGATGGTCCCTAGTTTTTAAGGCACCCTTAGTAGCAAGTCGTAGAATAAATGCATGTCGCGGCAAGGACCGGGACTCCCAAATCACCCTACCCCAGACACCTTGTATCCCCTGTTTGCTTGAGCCGAGTATAAGCTATACTAGAAAAGCTTCCCTCTCCCGAGTTCCACCGAGCAAGCTCTCTAATAGCTTCATCTTTGCTTTATATTTCACAATAAGCAAGTCTTTCAAATCGATAATAGCTTTCCACAACGACAAAGCATTTTGATGGGCTTTTACATCCCATACCTAACGATCTTGCAAGTAGAAATGGTGGATCCGGCAAATCCAAATGGAGTCGGCTTTGAGGTGTATATCCCGCAGTCTTTGAGCCATGAAACTTTGATTTCTCACTTTGATGTCAAATATGCCTAAGCCACCTTCTAATTTAGGGAGACAGAGGCATTTCTCCACCAATGTTGAAGAGCTCCTACTTACATCTCTAGTCCATAAAACGTTTCGACACATACCGGTGATACGTACCATAACCACGACAGGCATAGGAAATATAGCTTGCCATAATTGGATCATACCGAAGAGGACGGACCTTAACGGCTCCAGCCTGCTTGCATATGATAGGTGCTTACCCATCCAACTACGAATCGCAGATTTGAGGTCGTGAAGCAAAAGGGCAAGCCGACTAACAAGCAAGCGATGAGGACTTAAAGGGACCCCTAGGTATTTAAATGGGAAGAAGCCCTCACAAAACCCGGTTTCATGAAGGATTGAGTTTTTCAAGTCACCTCCCACCCCACCGAAGAAAATTGAGGACTTGGCCACATTGATGGCTAGGTCGGATGTTCTACCAAACGAGAGATAGGCGGCGGGACGGAATCTCGATAGAGGCAACATCCCCACGGCTAAGTAACAAAACATCATCCGTAAATGCAAGGTGGGTGATGGTATATATCCCACATTTAGAGTGGAAGTGGAAGTCAAAATTCCCGGTGGCTACTCGTATTAATTGGGAGAAATATTCCATGCATACCACAAAAAGGTAAGGAGAAAAAGGGTCTCTTTGCCTAACGCTTACTTTTCTCGGGAAGAACCCAAACATGCCCTCGTTGATCGAAATGGAATAGGAAGGCGACTCCACACATGCACTAATCCAAAAAACAAATCTAATCGGGAAGCCCAACTCGTAAGAGAAGTTGTTTCGGAAACCCCACTACACGAGTCGAAGGCCTTACAAAAATCAATCTTATGAGGCACCTAGGAGAAGCTCGCTTCCGACCATACATTCGAAGCAACTCCCGAACCAAGCAAATATTGTCCGACATTTTTCTACCACCCAGAAGGCATTCGCATGGGACTAACGATATCCGGAAGGACCGAGGAATAGCCTGGAGGAAATAATCTTGGAGATCACCTTATAAACTATATTACGGCAAATAAATTGGTCCGTAATCGCTTGACAAAGTAGCATTGGCCATTTTTGGGACTAAAGTTATAACGAGTGGTCGACCTATTTCAAGAGCTTCCCGGATACAAAAAAATCTTTAACCACCGCATAAAAATCACTCCCAACAATATCCCAAGCCTCGCTTGAAGAAGAAAGAAGAGTACCCATCGGGACCCAACGTTTTATCATTGTCTATGTTGAACAATGTCTTTTTGATGGTATCCTTCATGACCGGGACAAGGAGCATGTCATGGCCGTCCATTTGTAACCGAGGCCCGCTAGCAATAATATTCGAGTCTAGGGGGATCGTAGCCCTAGTTGTACCTAAGAGGTTCGATAGAAAGATACAAACTCCTCTCCCATTTTTTTAATTGAGGTAGTAAGTCGCCCATCTCGCCACTTAAGTGCTACAATGTGGCCGGCTTTGTGCTTCGATTCATATGGTCGTGAAAGAAGCTAGTTCCTTTGTAACAATACTTTAGGAACTTGCACTTTAATTTTTGGCCAAAAAACATCTTTTTCGAAGCCTTGAGATTTACCGTATTTAGCCTAAGCCGCTTCTCATTCTCACGAAGCTCTAAATTATCCCTATCACTTTGAAGCTCAACCTAGAGTGCGACCAAGTCGGATTCGACGCTAGTAACTCTTTGGGAGATGTGGCTGAAATGGAGTTGGTTCGGCATCTTGAGAGGCTCCTTTAGGCTTTTCAACTTCCGACAAAGGACATACATGGGGGTACCTCCGATTCTAGCTTCCCAACAATCTACCATAGTTTTTTAAAAATCAATGTAGGTAGCCCACATGTTGAAGAATTTAAAGCTCGATTTCCGGAATGAACGTGAGAGCCCAAGTCCGTCGATACCGAAGCATGATCCGAAAAAGCACTTGGGGGTCGAAATGTACATGAGCGAGTAGCTCGGTGGAGGACTAAAGAGGGTTAGCTAAAACTCTGTCAATTTTAGTCCATACATCCGGCCCATTCCAAGTGAAATGGCTCCCCATGTAGTTAAGGTCGGCTAACCCGAGGTCTAAACAATAATTTCTAAAGTCGGTAGTCTTGTAGTTGGAGACAAGCAGCACCTTTATGTTTATCGACTTACGAGAGAATCAAGTTGAAGTCCCCCAAAATAAACCGGGGACTATTTGGCTACCATTAATGAAGATCCTCCCACAACCCTCTTCTAGCAATGATGAAATGTAACCCGTAAACAAAAGTTGCATTAAGGGAAATTTGTTGTCTAAGATCGGTGATCCTAACATTAAGTCCTTGAATAGAGACATTTAACATATCAACCATTACGGTTCGGGATTTCAAAAAGGGCAATACGGGCATTACCCACAACCATAGCATTAGATATAAAGCTCCATTGCTTTAGTCGAATTCTATACGGTACCGACAAATTTAGTCGAACTTAGCTTTGTTTCCACGAAGGCACAAACATCTACCCTCTTTTTCTTCATGAGATGAACTACCTCATGCTACTTTAGAGGACTATTAAGCCCTCCGACATTCCAGCTAAATATGATCATGTATGAGCTGAAGAGGCTAAGCCCCTTCGACCCCATTTCCGCCTTTCCTTACCCCTCCGTTGGCGGTCCGCCCGGCGTAATTTTACCGGCAATCTGCTCCTCTTGTTTGATCGGGGGATCCATATTTATGGCCCCAAGAGAAGCTAGAACATTAAGACATTCGAGCTTTCTTATCAATAACGACCCTTGCTCGTTAGTCTCGGATCCGTCTCTCGGTTCCCCTATCCATAACGGTTCCCATACGGACACCTTCCGGTCTATCCGGAGAACCATTCCTACGAGCAACCCGAACCGGTTTGCCCCTAACTTTCGACCTCGTAGGCTGGCCGGCCTAGCATTTTGGCTACTCGGCCCACCCTTGTCACCTTTATCGCTACCTTCCACCCCGGGCCTAACCTCAATTGGCTCGGGGTCGGTGTATGATGCGGGACTCGTTTCGGAATCAATAATCATATTTTTACCTTTATTAGTAACCCCGAGTGAGGTTTTTTACCTTTCGTTGTCTCCCACTCCTTGAAAGCATCGGCAACTTTTAGGAGCATGGGGTCAATATGTGATTCGACTTCGGCAAGGCAAGCATTTACAGAATCACCCAGTTGCTAAAACACATTTGGCCCGGCTAGTCCGCCGACAGCTTCATTACCATTTGTGGTATCCTTACTCAATTCGGCATTGTTTGATTTTTCCACGCTAGTTGTGGAATGCCTAAGTAGACGACATTTTTTACAATGAATTGGGAGAGTCTCATGCATAACTCGGTTGGAAGAGGGTTATACCATTCAATAACAAGATGCTAACAATCTAGGGTAGAACCTCCATAATATTCGGTTCCACAAGAACTCTAGCATAGGAGAGACGATCCATTGAAGGCATCAACCTGTCGCATTTGATTGTTTGCCAAACAAACTAGCGATCTTCAACAAACACACAGTGACCAACATTTTAACGACGAGTTTGGAAACTTAACCCAAATCGGGATAGTGGCCATCTCGGTGTTGGAAAAATCAAAGTATTTCAAAATTGGCCTCAAAATTAAAGCTCATCCATAAATCAAATAAGGTCCCCCATTAAGCACCGAAACCTTATCTTCTTCGATTTGAATTTATAAATGAGCCATTCGATTCATGAATCATTAGAGAAGCCTCACAATTCCAAGTATTCTTTATGATTCCATTGAGGGCTCGAAACCCGAATTCTTACCAGAACATATCCCACTAGGTAACATTTCCATAATTCACATTTTGCATCATCATTAAGCGGAATGCATTTTTTCAATTCGGTGATAACCGAAAAGTGAGACAGTTTAGGAAACAAGTCCGAATTACGGTTACTTACAAACAAGTCTCGCCACTTGCCACTTGGAGGAGGAAAGGTCACGGTTTCTCCTGCTTTAGACACATCATAAGCTTGAGTCCTATTCACAACTACTGTCGCCTCCGGCAATGGAGAAATGGATGGGATAACGTCCGTGAGAAAATTTAGGTCGGGGGCACGTTGAGAATTGCAATTCAACCGAGTGCCGGTAGCGATTTGGCGGGTGTCGGTAGCTTCCCTAAAAACCAAAACAGGAGGTGCTCGTTCGAAGAATTTTGAGTCGAGACACGTGCTCTCCTTCGAATCTAAATAATCCACCTCTTCTTCACTATAATCTACCTCCTTCT